ACATGTAATCAATAGGAAAACCAATGGGACATTTTCCATGTTTCTGCAGGGTTCAAAGTCAGATGTGTATTTTATACCTTGGCGTATTTCAGCTCAGATTAGCCCAAATTCCACATTTCAGTTGCTTGCAGGCCACATGTGGCTAGTAGTGAGGGTTTGGACAAGGCGTTCTAGAACCCCATCTTACAAACCAAGTGACCTTGTGTGGTAGGCCGTTAGAAAGACAAACAGTGGAGCAAGGATGATGGGCCAGGTGCCTAGCAACGGACAGTTGTAGGGCGGGGCCTCATTCCCACGGTGACCTTTCCTCCCCTAGCATATGGCTGCTCATATGCGGTTTAGACCAGGGACCTTTCATATCGCTGGTCATGACCCCCTGACCTTTCCTCCCGAGAGGTAACATCAAGGCCTCAGGTGTATTTCAGCTTCAGGCCCAGAAAAGCAGCAAAACCAGACAAGCAACCCCCAGGGCTGACCTCTGGACCAGCTGCATGGATAATGACCCCCTGCCCTGGTGCTGACCAATCAATCAGGGGAGACCTAGACCCAGAAAGGACACAACTGGAAAGCTGCTGACTATCCTATTGAGATCTTCCCCTGGGACCCCCCCTCCCCCCAACCCCCGAAAGTCTCCACCTTTAAAGTTCTTAGGATGGAGGATCCAGCGAGCCCTCCCTGCTGGGAGCAGGCCCTGCCTTTCCCTTCTCTCTCCCCTGCCCCTCTTCCCTGGTGCATTGCCTTACCTTGCTCACTTCCAAGCTCCAAGGGAGCCCTTTGCCTCGCTAACATGTTTCCTAAGCCCATTTCTTCTAAGAATTATTTCTTCCACCTCTGTGGTTTTCTAAATAAACTAGAGGCCCGATGCACGAAATTCGTGCAAGGGGTTTGGCCCTTGCAGCCCCGGTTTTGTCTGGAAGGTCGTCCAGAAGGATGTCCGGAAGGACATCCGGAAGGTCGTTTGGCTGTCCGGTCTAATTAGCATATTATGCTTTTATTATTATAGATGTTCTCTTATAGTTTGGGTCTTGGCTCTTAATTCTTCCCTAGCCAGAGCTCAAGTACTGAGATTGCTGAACCCAGGTCCCACCTGATCCCAGTGGTCTAACACCTTGGTGCCATTCCCGTGAGCACCCCCCACCTCAGCACTTGGACATGTAGGACATGTAATTTAACCATTCTGAGTCTGCTCACTTCCTGTAAAATGGAGTTTAAAAAAAACCTACATCACAGGGTGAAATGGGAGGTTCACTAGATTAACAGAGAACAGTACCTAGTAGGTGCTCAGCAAACCACAGTTATCATTATCATTGTCTTAAGACATAGGTCATTCAGCTGGCCATGTGGTCTTTTACTTTGGATTTTAGTTGGTGGACTTTTAAGCAAAGCATAACATGAACATTTCCCCACTATTTTACACAATTTTGGGTCAGTCTTGTAACCAGAAGGTTAACAAATAGGGTTGACAGAATATTCTCAGAAGTGACTGTTGGTTTGATCCATTTATGAGATTAAGGTCTGGGGGGTTTACACCTTCAGTTTCAAGATGGAGAAGTATGGGCCCAGGATCCAGCCTGGATATAAAAAGCTTATGGCTGCCCAGACGGTGTGGTTCCGTGATTGAGGGTCAACCCATGAACCAGGAGGTCAGGTTCTATTCCCAGTTACGGCTCCATCTCCAATAGGGGGCATGCGTGAGGCAGCTGATGGATGATTCTCTCTCATCATTGATGTTTCTATCTCCCTCTCCCCTCCTCTCTGAAATCAATAAAAACTTATATTTTAAGACGCTCATTGCAACAGGATTACCACAAATCCCCAAACAGAATAGGTAGGGAAATAGTGTGAAGGCTACCACTATTGATCATCATCTGTCCGCTCACTTAACAACAAAACAACTTAACAAGCAGTACCCCGGAAGGCAGGTGGTCCTCATTTTAAAGAGAAAGACACAGAGGCTCAGAGTGGCTGACAGCTTTGCCCACGTTGACACAGCTGTTAGGTGACCCCTTTCTTACCCTCTGGTACCCCCCCCCCTTCTCACTTAGAACGTAAAGGTGATATGGGCTGGGATGATCGGCCTGTAGCTGGCTCGCTGCAGAGAAGCACAAACTAATTGTTTTAAAGCGAAACACTCCGAGTTGAGTATAAAAACAGAAACACAGATGGCAGAAAAGGAACCCTTCTCCCCTCCACCTAAACATTAGCATTGAAAGGTTTGTTTCCACGTGCTGTTTCGACAACAGGCACACATTCGTCCTTTCATTAGATAAAGCAAGACAACCAGATGGAGCCACGATCCCTTTTTTTATTAGTGCTATTTATTAAGAGCTTGGCAACCCCCTTGCGAAGTCTGGTCTTGCAGGGAACAGCCAAGGAAATTTGTGGAAAGGGGATTTTTTCTTTCGGCGCCGTGGTACCGGTGAAATGAAGAGAGAAGTGGCAGCTCCCAACGACCAACCCCAACGAGCACGTGGCTCTTGTTATATCTGGCTGGCTCAGCCGGGATCCAAGTTATGGGGCTACAGGGGATGCTGTCTAGACCAGTTCTTTTGGCCCTGGGGTTGGCAGACCACAGAACCAGAAAGCCAAAGCCTGGCCCAAGCATCTCGCTGCATTTTTCTCTGGTAGACAGTCAAGCTGGATGCAAACGACATCTCCAACAATTACAAAGAGCAATAAACAAGAGACTCCAAAGACTGCACTGGGCCTTCTTCAGCTCTTGATAGATAAGGCCTGGCTCTTGAGCTAGGAAGCATGACATTTCTGAAGCGGGGATCGTGGGAGGGGGGCGGGGGGCGGGTCATGTGCAGCTTGAGAGCATTGTCATGGCCTCAGAGGTGTTTATTCTAGTCTCAGTGACGGCGCTACAACAGGAAAAACACATGCATGTGTAATGGAAATAATTTATTTACCACTAGAGCACCACAAAAACAGACATACATCGTGTTAAAATACAGCGGAATCAGTCATCAAAATACAAAACAGCTATTCTTATATTCCATTTTTTTTAAAACCATGTCAACCATAAAATTGTACTGCTGCTTAACACATAAAAACAGCCCCGCCCCCGCTCCCGCCCCACATACTAACATTTCCCCCCTCTTTCCCCCTCCCCCTCCCTCTCCTCCCCTGGCAATATTTACTTATGGGAAATAAAGACCTTATAGAACCCCCAAACTAAAAAAAAAAAAAGATTCAAGAGATCTTAAAATAGAGCATTTAAAATATTAATCAGTGCATTCATGAGGAAAGACAACATAATACAAAACAAAATGTCATTTCTGAGAAAAAAATACGTGCAGAAATAAAAGGGATTTACATAGAATTCATAGAAAAGTGGAAGGGAAGAGAAATCAACACACTCAAATCCGGGACTGGGTCCCATCCACCACTAGGGCTGCTGGCTACTGGGGCCTCCCACCTCCTCCACCTCCTCCTGCCATTCCAGTTCTCCAACTTGTCCATCCAATTCGTCACTTTCCTCAGCGGTAGGAAATTCCAGAAACAGAGAAGTTGACTATAGCAAACAACTTCTCTTAGGATTTACCCTCACTGTGCCGCTGTTTAGGTGAAACTGCAAATATCCCATTGTATGACCTATACGTGTTGATCAAGGGGACAACTGTCAAGTCCTACAAACTGTGACATGAGGTGACCTCCTTGGCAATGATGTAGCAAATCATTTATTGAAGCAAAGTAAATGGCAGCAAACTCTCATTCACAGGGGAAAAATGTATTTTTTTTTATCATGGGAGAATTTGGTTTGTGCCTTCTCAACCTTCATAGAACATCTATAAAAATCTTAACTTCAGCCTGGCCGGTGTGACTCGGTTGAGTATCAACCCCATGAACCAAGAGCTCACCGGTTCGATTCCCAATCAGGGCACATGCCCGGATTGTGGGCCCGATCCCCAGTAGGGGGCACGCAGGAGGCAGCTGATAGATGTTTCTCTCTCATCTATGTTTCCATCTCTCCCTCTCCCTTCCTCTCTCTCTAAAATCAATAAAAACATATTTTTTAAATATCTTCAGTGAAATAAGCTGAATGACTTATGCTGACCTGTTTTCTTTTCTCTCCCTTAAAAAAAAAATCAATGAAAAGATAAATCTTTCCATTCCCCCCCCCACCCCCGACTCAGAACATCAACAACCAGATTAAAGTCAAAGATGTTTCCTGTGAACTGCCTGCTTTGTAGTAACAACAGGATTCTGTGAAAATTCTGATTGAACCAAGTGAGAGAAACCTTTCTTGACTGTCACCAGGTTTCGGCCAGATCCTCGAGCCCTTGCTAAAATGAACACATTTCACCTCAGTGGTCTCTGTATCTATACTATTCCCCAGCTTTCCTAAAACAGGAGCTTCTTCATGTCTGAACTGGTGAGTAGTGATGCTCTGAAGATGAAGGGAGACCACTGAACTCAAATCTATCTTCTTTTGCAAAAGAAAAAAGGACAGGTGGGAGTCAGGTAGCTTATGTTATCGTAATAGACAATGTACAAAGCGCAGTGGAGCAAATACTATAACACATGTATTTTTAGTGCAAATCAAAATCTAGGGGCTTTACTCAAAAAAAATACTACCCAGCTAAAGGAAACACAATTCGGAGTGATCGTGAAAGAAAGAAAAAAAAAAGCCCAAATTTAAGTCCAATCTAAATCATAGTTGACATTATTACAGAACATTCAAAATATGGTAAAAATTTACACATTACAAGCCAAGTAGTTAATGTTTTGATTTAATAGTTTGCAAAAAAAAAAAAAAAAAAGATCGGCTGATGTGTTTCCAATTATACGGGCTTCTACACCCATCTATTGTAATAATAAAGGTATGGTTACATATACCGAAACTAAGAGAACCTACAGCATAACTATACAGCAAGACTTCCATGTCTGAAGTTTGACCAGGATGTATCAAAGCATTGCAACCTCTCACTGGTGGGCTCGCCTGACAGGGAAGCATTTACAATGAAAAAGAAGAAAAAAAAAAAAACCTTACAGACTTCTTCTGACGGAAAGTTTCCTTTATTAACAGGCTTTTGGCTTTGAACCTACAAGATCCTTCCTCGGGCAGTTGGGACATAGCATGTGTTTGCAGGGTCTTTACCTCAACACAGACTTGTTGTGGTCACAGAAGAACTCACCTGGGTTTTCATCCTGCTCCTATGACCTCTTTTTTTTTTTTCCCCTTTTCTTTCTTGTTCTGGCTCGTTTGAGTTCAAGTTCCTTAAACCATCCATGAGTTCCTGGCAAAGGATTTTGGTCTCCACTTGATACACCTGTTTTCTTTTCCAAGGGCAATGAAATGTTCATTATGTAGTAACACACAATAAATAACTCACTGTTAACTCTAAGAGTAGGAACAGGGAAGGAAGACTATTGCATAGCAATACAGACAAATCAAGTGAGGCCTGGGGTAGGAACGTATGTACAACTCCACTTAACGGGATTTTCCTGTTTTTTTGTGTGTGTTTTGTTTTCTTTCACATAATTAACACTAACAAATTCTTCCAGTGTTTATTTATTTTTCCTTAAAAAAAAAAAAAAAGGTTTTGCTTCTTGTCTCTCTCACTTACAGAGTAGGTGCAATGTAGAATCAAGCCTTCCACGCGTTTTTTGTTTTGTTTCGTTTTTTTTGCTTTGTTTTGTTTCGGATGCCAGTTTTAACAAACAGAACGCACACTTCCGACGTGTCTGAACTAGTACCGCTTTTCCAAAGGATTTTTTTAACACTGACGAAGCAAGGCACTCTTGGGTTTCTCGTTACAAACTTGTTATGTTGTGGTCGAATCATCATCATCATCATCATCATCATCATCATCGTGTGGTTACCGTCTTGCCATTTTCCCAGGGATCTTAGCTGCATTTGCAAGACTTCACTATCATGTTGGACAGCTGTTCGATCTTGGGGGTCTTGCCGATGTAATAGAGGATGGTGAGCGGTTCCAAGTCCTGGGACACGCAGCAGGGAGAAGCCGATGCCTCCGGGTTGATGGTGTTATATAAGCTGAGAACCTGCGAGGGCACCGGGGAGAAAGGACAATAACAAAAAAAGGCAATTAATTTTTTTAAAAATATATTTTATTGATTTTTTACAGAGAGGAAGGGAGAAGGATAGAGAGTTAGAAACATCGATGAGAGAGAAACATCGATCAGCCGCCTCCTGCACACTCCCTAGTGGGGATGTGCCCGCAACCAAGGTACATGCCCTTGACCGGAATCGAACCTGGGACCCTTGAGTCCGCAGGCTGACGCTCTATCCACTGAGCCAAACCGGTTAGGGCCAATTAATTTTTAAATGAGTAACAGTCATAGCCCTGAATGGCAATGCAAATTATTTTTGCTTACAATTTTCTTTTCTTTTTTGTTTTTGTTGATCCTCACCTGAGGCCATTTTTCCATTGATTTTTGGAGAGAGTGGAAGGGAGGGGGAGAGACAGAGAGGGAGAAACATCTATGTGAGAGAGACACATCCATTGCCTGCCTCCTGCACATGCCCCAAACTGGACCAGGGAGCCAGCCTGCAACCGAGGTACTTGGTGCCCTTGACCGGAATCGAACCAGGGACCCTCCAGTCCCCAGGCCAACACTCTATCCACTGAGCCAAATGGGCTAGGGCTAACCGCGTTCTCTGTCAGAGGGGAATGTGACTTTTACCAATGGCAGTATGCAGGTTCCCCGGTGATGATAAGGAGTCATTTCCAAGGATGCCATTAATGTGTTAGCCAAACAGCGAGTGACCTTTTCCTCGAGATTCACTGCAATTTTTTTTTATCCCAGGACAGATGATCCGTTCAGCGCAGCAACACTGGCTACTTTATTAAGCTACCTCCGGCTCGTTGGGTAACTGTCCAAACCACATATTTGTGACCACGACAGTTATTCTTCCTCTCTCCTTGAAAAACAAGCAGGTCTCTGCCTTCACACACTCCCTCTGTGTATCTGGGAGGGGGAATTATGTTTCTACTTGGCAACTGGGCCTTGCCCACATTACAGCTACTGTTGCCACGGCCCAGAGGAAGCCGCCGGGCCAGAGAGCCTGGACAAAGGGACAGGCATGAGCAAGCTTCCCTCACATGGCCAAGCGCATGGCCGGCCCCAAGTGCCAAAATCTCCAGGGGAGCTGGGGAAACAGCTGAGGGAAGGAGAGCCATAGTTTGTCAACTTAAAGTCTTGCATATGTGGCCATTTATAAATAAATAGACTTCATGTTCCACGAACACGCGATTTTTCGTAAGGAAGTAAAGAGGAATTGGATAATGGGGATTGTGTAATGTAATTGATAACCCCGACACTCATGAGCTCAGCTGAATGCATTATGGCAGCGGTTCTCCACCTTCTGGCCTTTTAAATACAATTCCTCATGTTGTGACCCAACCATAAAATTATTTTCGTTGCTACTTCATCACTGTCATGTTGCTACTGTGATGAATCGTCATGTAAATATCTGATATGCAGGATGGTCTGAGGCGACCCCTGTGAAAGGGTCGTTTGACCGCCAAAGGGGTCGCGACCCACAGGTTGAGAACCGCTGCGTTATGGGATCTTGTTGGCAGTAGATTCGTTTTCCTACCCTGCAGGGAAGGCAGTCTTTCTAATGCCTCTTTAATAAGGAGATTTGCAGAGGCATAACCCCAATGGGTTGCCACATTTCAGGAATGGAACTCTATAAGACAGAGCCAACGGGGCCTAGTTATAAAGCCAGGAGTCCACCTCCCAGGCTCCGGTTTGTCGCCAGCTGTTTGATTTGGGGAACATCACCTACATGAACATCCTCTTTCTTTTTTAAAAAATATATTTTTATTGGTTTCAGAGAGGAAGGGAGAGGGAGGGATAGAAACATCAACGAGGACAGAGTATCATTGACTGGTTGCCTCCTGAATGCCCCCTACTGGGGATGGAGCCCACAACCCAGGCATGTGCCCTGACTGGGAATTGAACTGTGACCTCCTGGTTCATAGGTCGAAGCTCAACCACTGAGCCACACCAGCCGGGCTCCCCTTTCTTTAGAAAAGGAACAGGTTTGGCCAAGATAACATGAAGTCCTTCCCCTCATCAGGCACCAAGAAGAAGCATTTGAACAAGTATCATTATTAAATAGAAAAACTCTTTGCTCGTCTGTATTGGGAACCCCCAGCATCCAACTTAGGACCTGCCTTCTGAATTGACCTCTACCCTCATTAAAGTAACTTGATAACATTTTCAGAGTCTCATTGACTTTGGCTCACATTTAAAAAGACTGAGAAATACTAATCTTCAAATAATTTTCACATGCATCACCTTTCCTTCACATCAACTCTCCAGTTTGGCATTATTTATTTTAAACATGATTTTTATTTATTTATTTAACAATAGCGTGGCGAAGGTGTGGGGGGGCAGGTGCAGGGTGGAGGGGGTCAGTGGGGAAAAGGGACATCTGTAATATTTTCAACAATAACGATTAAAACATTTTTAAGGATAATTTTTAAGAGAGATGTTCCTTTTTGCTGATAAGAAATTGAGGTTCGCCCTAGCCGGCTTGGCTCAATGGATAGAGTGTCAGCCTGTGGACTGAAGGGTCCCAGGTTGGATTCTGGTCAAGGGCACATGCCTTGGTTGCAGGCTTGATCCCCAGCAGGGGATATCCAGGAGGCAGCCAATCAATGATTCTCTCTCATCGTTGATGTTTCTATCTCTCTCCCTCTCCCTTCCTCTCTGAAATCAATAAAGATATATTTTTAAAAAAAAGAAATTGAGGTTCAAAGAAGTGAAATCACTTTCTAATTGTCAGATGCCAGTGACTCACTTTGCCACAGTATCTACTGAATCCTCAGTGTTCTTTCTTTCAATGTTATCACCTGATGTAGGCACCACGACGATCAGAATTCATTTGGGAATACAATGGACCCTGGAACAATACGTGTTTGAACTGCATGGGTTCACTTATATCTGTTTTTTTTCAATACATATACAGTCAGCCCTCTGTATTTCGGGTTTTGCATTGGTGGACTCGAACAACCACAGATGCAAAGGACTGGCAGTAGGCACTGTTCTACTCCATCTATATATATAAAAGCCTAAGTGACCGTTAGGATTGGACGACCAGCCGGTAGCTATGATGTGCACTGACCACCAGGGGGCGGATGCTGAATGCAGGAGCTGCCCCTGGTGGTCAGTGCACTCCCACAGCCAACCTCCTGTGGCCAGCCAACCTCCTGTGGTCCCGTCCCCCCCCGGCCAGTCTGCCCCGATTGGCCCTGATCGCCGGCCAGGCCAAGGGACCCCACCTGTGCACGAATTCATGCACCGGGCCTCTAGTATTATATAAAGGACCTGAGCCTCTACATTTTTTGATATTTATGAAGGATCCTGGAATGAATACCCTGCCGACAGAGGGATGACTAGTTAGGTTCTGGGAGAGTCGAAAGTTTTACACATCTTCGACTGCATCGGAAGTCAGTGCCTCTAACGCCTGCCATTGTTCAAGGGTCAGCTGTTATTAGCAGGTGCGCATTAGCAACCCAAGAAGAGAAGAGAGGAGCCAACCAAGTACTTACCCTACTGTGCTGAGTGTCTGAACTCCATAAATACGGGCATGCCCCAGCACAGAAGTTGGCATTGTACCCTTTGGGTTCATGGATCCATTTCCACCCAAGATCCCTCTTGAAATCAATGTAAAGTGGACGTAGGCAGCAATTATCCTGCACATTTCTGTTAAAGGAAGAGCAACGGAGATTTTAAAGCGGATTTCCCTCCTGCCCCGCATCCCAAACCAGGAAAGTGACTCATTCATTTATTCAACAAATATCTATTAGCAAAACCACGGGCCAGCTCTTAATGGTTTCACGGTCATCTAAGGGACTTTCACGATGGGATGTGATGGTGATTTGCTGGGACGACTTTCCCTTTTCAACTCTCTACCCTGACCCCGTGTCTGTGACCTTGAAAATCAAGCCTCTCCCTTGAATGACTAGATATAAACAGAGAGGTGGCTGATGGAGTCCGGCCTCTTTCCAACCAGCCCTGCACAGTGTTGCCAGCCAGCCTCTACTGCCCTTTCCAATATGAAACGAGGAAGTAAAACAGCTTTTTTCTAAGCTCCATTGAAGGCATTTTCCTTTGAAAACAAATCCTTTATTTCATGTCTTGTTCCTTGATCTAGGAATGAACCAAAGATCAGAAAACATGGAGTCCTCATGCAAATACTGGCCCTAGCGACCCCAAACACTCGTGAACTCTGACCCTTTGAGCATTTATCAGTGAGGACCCCTCACTGCTCCATTTTGAAAAGAGAGAAAGAGTCTTCCCTTTCGAAGGCTTGCTAAGAAACCACGGAAGAACATCCACCCGGCCCCCTCCGTGGACTCACATGGGAATGATAAATCTGTGTGCCCTCCCTTCTCGCATATTCTGTAGCTAAAGACATGACAGTTAGCATTCTCCTTTCACATCTTGCATCTCTGTTACTGTGGAAAGCGCTATGACCATGGGCAGTGAAGACAAAGGCTCCTACAGATGGTGAGCCTCCCTAGTCAGGGAGCCACCACAACCTTCAAATAAACTTCCATTTGCTCTGGGGGAGGGGGAGGCAGCCAGCTTATTTTCTACTTCAGCCCCAAACTGCTTCAGAGGGATTGGGGGCGGGGGGTGGAATTCAGGGGACTAGTTTTCTCCCTTTACACTCCATTCCTTGCTCAAGAGATGATGAATACAACACAGAAATAACTATACTACGCCTGTGGGAAGAATGATGTTGTGAAATGCAATGGCCACACTGTTCTATACCTGACCCGAAGCCATGAGTGCAGGTCAAGTCCATGTGTAGTCAGGGAATGGGCAGAGGCAATAAAGGAATTACCCGGCGCAATGACTTGATTGTATTTTTGAGTTCTTTACCTAAAGCAGTAGGCTGCATCTAGAGCGCGCTTCTTCCGCCGGTTGGACTGTTGTGACTCCAGTCTGTAGGAGGGTAACAACATTAGCAGGAGATGTGGGGTCTTCCCACTGTTTTTTTTCCTAGTGGACTTTATAGTTTTCTGATCACCACTGGTATATGTGGAGGTGCCATCAATACCTTGAAAAAATGCATTTGGGTAATAAACATTTAGCTTTACCTTCATCAGATATCATCAGCCATATTTCTTTTTTTCGTTTGTCTACTGTCACAAATTAGCAGTGATGACCACAGCGTCAGCATCAGCTGGCGACAGTCATTCCCTACGGAAATAGATATGGCGCAACAGGGCTAAGCAGGTGACAACACACACTTCTAAATGGGGCTCTTGTTAGGAGGCAGGTCAGGGTCCAAGACAGGGCTCGTTGGCTATGAAAGTCGCTACAGAAGAAGTCTTTGACCTCTCGTCCCAGGGCAATCCAGGCAGTTAATTTGAGTCAATCCTCAGTTCACGTTGTGTTCAAACCTCTCCATGAACCAACACACAGCAATAGAACCTGCCTTGTCACCCTCTGGTTCCCTCTCTTCCTGGGGGGACTCAACTCAAAACTTTCCTAATGAACAGAAACGAAGACTTACACTAAATTGCAGTGAATTCGGTTCAAATGAAACAGAAGTCACCCTTACCTAATGCTATTTGGGGAAGCTGGGAAGAAAGGCCTTTTTCATTGGGCTCATGGCATCCTCCACACTTTCCTGATTCCATCTGAGGTTCAGAAATTGGAGCTCCCCAAAGCTCACCCAGGAGAATGCCAGTTTAAGCATTTCATCTCCACACCCTTGAGAACCATGACGAGGTCACAGGCTGAAATAAATCTCCTGACCTCTGGGAGTATTTTTCCATGAGCTGAGGCCACTGTAGCCTTCTGCAAGTGGATGGAGGTCCCAGGTGGTGTCACTTAGGGAAGGGCAAGGGGCATCCCAACCTGGTTGTCAGAGTCTAATGCCACAACCACACAGGGCACCCACTTCCCTCTCAACCTCTCGCCATCCAGGGACTCATCATCTGGCACGTGATTGGATGATGAGAGAGGAGGGGGAAGTCTACGTGTGGGCATCTCCTCATTCTCCTTGACCTTTGGCTAATTCACTACCAGGTGAGCAAGAGCCTGGGGAAAATTAACCCCCTGTTATGAGTTTCTACACTATTATAAAAGTCTGATAAGGAAGACACTCAAAATATTGGTCACCAGCTAGAAAAAGTGAAGTGGTTGCCTTACATGGAAGGTTAGTTAAAGGGGCTGGGGAGCGAGGGGGCTTGCTTCTTCGTGAAATTCAGTTCAGGGTCCCTGACATTGGTTTGGGGGATTTCCTTAAATACATACTATCTTCTTTGTTGATAATAGTAGCATATGTGGAAAATTGGTTTGCTTAAATGCTTAAGATAACTATGTAATGGTTTGTTTAGTCAGTCGGTTAGTATTGCTAAGTCATCACTGGGCATCGAGCAGCATAAACTAGGAACCAAGTCCTTTCTTCTAATCCTTTCTGCCTTTGAGTATCTTTCTCCAACTGTATCTTTGCCCAAACAAATGACACTCCCCAAGCCTCACCAAACAATCCTGCTTTCACCTGCACACTGACGTCATCACCCACAAGACTGTCCACAGAGGCCCTCCCCCCTCCCCCACCTCACATGACCGAATTTCAGTTACCTGCAAATCTCGCTTCTAGTTCCTCGCTTTTATTGGGGATGATGTAATTATTGGACGGTACAAAGGTGCAGCAGGGACAGTGTAAACTTATTTTAAATCCCAGGTTCCTGTCTGGAAAACATGAAGTCAAGGAGGTCATTTGCATGAGCGTCTATGCCCTTAAATATGCAGTCAACTTGCAATAACTTAGGGTCGCTGGACATCTAGGGAGGAAAACAGAGGGTGGGTGTAACCTTTATGGTGGAGCCATTCGTGAACAGCGTCGGTCACGTCGAAGGATAGCCATTCCCCTTCTGCTCTTGTTTTCACCACTTTGCTGTCGATGTAGCGCTGGGTTGGAGACGTCAGATCCTTGGATTTGAGAATCTAGGAGCAGGAAGAGCAAGGGAAAGAGCCCAGTTGGCATATAGACAGCATGACGAAGCCATGGCCGGGAGTATTCCAGTGTGTTATCTAAAGGGTGTCCCAAAATTCACGCAAGAAGTAATTTTGATAGAAAACACAGGTTTATAATTAAAAATTATAAATTTTTATTGATTCATAAAGTATACAGTATAGGGTTATGTATGAAATAGCACATCGGGTAAATGGCCTCCACGGCTTTGCTGGCACATACGTAAAGCCGTGGTCTTCATTGATCTTCATTGTCCCTGCTCCTGGGCCATAATTGGTACTTGGTAATGCTTATCAAATGGAAGGGATTGAAATCAAAGGGCAACAGATATTAGAATCTGATTCAATACACCAAGTAAAATTAGGCTTTTATTTTGTTGTTGTTGTTGTTAATGCTCACGCAAAATTCAAATCTTGCGTGAATTTTGGGACACCCTTTACATGTAGCGTCCTCTCCAACGCAGGGCCACGCGCAGGAAAGCCTAACACCAGGCCATCCGCCATGAGAAACAGAGCCACTACATCAGCTGTGTGTGATGATAAAGGTGACGGGGCCCATAAAGCCATGTGTCTAACAGAAAGTGACAGTAATTATTTTGCTTTGCTGACATAAACTTTGCAAGACTTCGGCCATAAATTCTACGCTATTAAGTTAATGGTTTTGTTATTCTGCTTCCCGACTTCTTTCATTGGGGGTGTTAGGAGGTGGGGAGGGGTCCCATTCAGAGGGCCCCTGAATTATAAATCTGCTACTAAACAGAGAAAGGTCCTAACCCTGGATCCGAAACCCACTGGCCTTAGAAAGCGTGCCATGCCTCGGCTTTTGAGGTAAGTCTGGAGCTGGGGTATTTGTTCTCAGCGTGACTTGTTATGATTTCTAAAGATATTCCATATCCCTTGGACTGAGTGTGGATTTGGGCAGGAGAGGTCTGGCCGGGAGGATAGTGAGGGTCTGGAAGAAAACCAGCCTGAACGCTGAGAGTTAGAAGGAGGCATTTATTTCCAATAAAGAGCACCTGCAGCACGTTCTTGAATTTCTGTGAGAAGCGGACATTTTAGGGTTTTTGTGGGGGTTTTTAATTCTGTCTTTAAATGATAGTGTTTTCTGAACCAATCAAACCAAGATCCTACATCTCCTAGCGCTGTATTAACTCTCTTCCCAGACCTGTATCCTATCTTTCCTCAGGACTCAGGGGTTCAAGCCCTATGTTTGTTTGCTTGCTACTGATTTTATTGTTTTTATTATTTATTTATTTTAAATATATTTTATTGATTTTTAAAATATATTTTATTGATTTTTTTACAGAGAGGAAGGGAGAGGGATAGAGAGTTAGAAACATCGATGATGAGAGAGAAACATTGATCAGCTGCCTCCTGCACACCTCCTACTGGGGATGTGCCCGCAACCAAGGTACATGCCCTTGACCAGAATCGAACCTGGGACCTTTCAGTCCACAGGCTGACGCTCTATCCACTGAGCCACGGCTAGGGCCATGGTCGGCAAACTGCAGCTCGAGAGCCACATGCGGTTCTTTGGCCCCTTGAGTGTGGCTCTTCCTAAGCCTTAGGAGTACCCTAATTAAGTTCATAACAATGTACCTACCTATATAGTTTAAGTTTAAAAAATTTGGCTCTCAAAAGAAATTTCAATCGTTGTACCGTTGATATTTGGCTCTGTTGACTAATGAGTTTGCCGACCACTGGGCTAGGGCATGCTTGCTACTGATTTTAGAGAGAGGAAGGGAGAGATAGGGAGAGAAAGAATGATCGATATGAGAGAGAAACAGCTCCTCCTGCCTGGGGCTCAAACCCCCAACCTGGGTATGTGCCCTGACCGGGAATCGAACCGGTCAAGCCTTTGGCATGTGGGATGTCGCTCCAACCGAGCGCCTGGGCCAGGGCAGCCCTATGTGGCTGTCACTGCCCTTCCCGACATTGAGTCTAACTCTTCCATGGTCATTGCATACAGATGGCCCGGGTCTCTCCAATAGGTTCCTAAGCTTCCCCAGGATTGTGTCTTCAATTTGATGTCCCTTTAAAGCACAGCCCTCAGCAAAACTGAATGACTATCTGAACGTCTACAGGATTTGTTTGCTTTCCTTGTAAAACAAACATGCATAATCTTCCCGTCGCTTTTAAAATGCACTTCTCTTCTGTGTATGTGATTTGGTCTCCGGTCACTTGGCAACAGACGCATCCTAGAGTATCTGTCCTTACAATAGCCTGTGGTTGTTGATTTCCGAATTAAGTTTACAAAAGGAAAGAGATTCATACAATTGGACTTTGAGGTGCTGGTGTGACTTTTAGACAAACCCTATTCCTCAGGCCTTTCCCCTGAGGTCCGACAAACCCCACAATGTGGGCAGAATCTAGTCATGGTTCTCCCCGTAGGCAGGATGCTCCTTGTGAATTAAAGGAAGCAAACAAACGGGACTTCAGGGCTGGGCACCCTGGGGTCTGGGCTTGGCACAAGTTATTTGATTTCTTTTGAATCCTCAAAACGTTGCTGTCAGGTAGATCAAGCAAACTAAACTGCAGGAGGTTAAGTGGCTCGCCCAGTGTCTCACAGAGAATCATGGTATAGAGAACACAAAGCAACACTTTGGTTTTCCCACTTCAGTGCTGGAGTTTGAAGACCAGAGAGTGGTGGGAGTCAGGGTTGCAACACGAGTCACCCTTGCCCTGGTCCAGGCGACACAGAACATGCAGTGATGGAGACAGAGACTGTTAATGAGATGATAAATGTTGGTGCAAGGTGGAAATATCAAATGTGGAATGCATACACAGTTGATGCCGACACGAACCTATACCTTAAAATCAAAGCTTAACATCAGCGTTTCCTCTGGAAATCCAACCTCGCCTTGAAAACTCCCCCAGTCGGGCCACTACGATACCACGTCTCCAGTTGGGAGTGAATGGTAGACTTAACCTAACCCGGGATAACAATGATGAAGCGATGGAGGGGGAGTTTTCAGGCAATTCCATCTGCCTCGCGGCCTGAAAAAGGACTAACATACCCAGGATTCATTTTCCTGTCCTTAAATTCCTTCCCCTTGCTGACCTCCTATCATGTGTTATTTTATGTTTTGCGTATCTGCTTTGCTCCTAATTAGCTTTATGTCTTACTCATGTTCCTATCCTTAACACTTAGACCTATTGTCAAAAACAAAACATTGTTTTCCTTGTGGCATTACATAGGGTATATTTTGATATAGCTGTGAGATCTATCTATGAGATATATGTATGAGTAAATATAAATAAATATAATTATATAAATATTTTACTTTGTAAAATGCCTTTAGGACAGCGGTTCTCAACCTGTGGGTCGCGACCCCTTTGGGGGTCGAACGACCCTTTCACAGGGGTCGCCTAAGACCATCCTGCCTATCAGATATTTACATGACGATTCATAACAGTAGCAACATTACAGTTATGAGGTGGCAAAGAAAATAATTGTATGGTTGGGGGTCACAACATGAGGAACTGTATTTAAAGGGCCAGAAGGTTGAGAACCACTGCTTTAGAAGGTGTTTCCTCAGCCACAGAACGAACCCCTGTAGGTTCTGACAATGGACAACTTCGTATCGTCACGTGGGTGAAAACTCCTCCACATCTTTTCATCAGCTCAAGACCAAGCCAACTGAAACCACCCAAGAGAGACAGCTGCCCTGCCGCCTCATGCTGAAACTCTGTTCTCGCGGGTTTGCCATCTCGAACTTTCTGGCCAAGGAGTTCTTAAACCCACTTGCTGCCGCTTAACTCCGCTCTTTCTGATCCAGTCCTCCGTGCAAACAGGAAACAGCTGCTTTCCATCAGCCAGAGAATAACCCTCATAGTCCTGGAGACTATTATTAAGTCCCCCTCAGCATGCCCGCTCTCTGCCTCTCTCTCTCTCTAAGCTAAATAAACCCAGTTCCTGTAGCTGATACTTAGAGGGGTATTCTCCCAAACCTTTAATCACGTGGGTCGCTAACAAGGATGAATGGTGCTATATGAAAGCTCTCCTCCTACAGCTCCGTGACTGTGCCTCAGAACTGCTAGAAAACCTTCTAATCGCCTCTCAGGGTCTCCCGTCTCCACTTGAAAGGTATCTTCTTTCTAAGAATAGGCACACCCTCCCTATTCCCTGCTTATCTTCCCTTTTTCACCTACTAGTGTAAGGGAAGACAATCCATCAGTCCTTTCTTAAATTCAGGAGTTCATACAAAAATGGCCAGATCGGCCAACTTCCCGTTCTCTGTTAGTCTTCACTGGCTCTAAGCTCCCAGCAACACGTGTACCGAGAGTTCACAGGCCTGAATCGACAGCTGTGTCCTGTAGAGCCACAGTTGTTCCCAAATCTCTTTATCCATCTTTACAGGACAAAGGACATATAGCAGGGCCCTGGCCGTCCCGGGTCTGGGACAGACCCAGGGACGCCCCTGCTCCCAGCCTCGGGCCACTCTCCTGCGTCTCATCCAGTCGCCACCCTCACACCCACCTCCCAGACCAGCCAACACACGGGTTTCCTTTCTGCCTTAACCCCTTATGCCGAACAACCACGCGCTCCCAAATGCATCAGAATTACTCCACCAGCGAGGCAGAGGCCCTGTCACCCGCCTGGCCACCTGCCTCTGCGGGCCCCACACCCACCTCTCTCTGGGCTTCTGTTTCGACCTTGACCATGTGGCTCTCAAGGGCGGGGGCCGCTTCTTCCTCAAGTTGGTGGGAAAGAAGAGTGAGGGCCTGAGCATCTTAAAGATGCAAAACCAGCAGTGGCTGCATTCTCTTCCAGGACGTGCTGAGGCCTCCCCAAGATGAGTGGGACAAAACTCAGGGCACCATGGAAGCCGCCCTGGCCTTGGCCTTGGCCTTGGCAAGGACCCAAGCCCTTTGGATCTGCAGGCCCTGATCTCTGTGACTTCCTGCAGAACCACTTCCTGGAGATGGGCCCCGCCTCCTCACCTCCGCAGGTGGCCCCCAGGCTGGGCTGG